GCAAGAATCATGGTATGCAGAGAAAAGAAAGCTAATTCGGGTTACTACTTTCTTCTCTCTTTTATGCCTTCGTTTGTTTCGAAGCTCGAAAAGGCAGTTGGGGTCACACTGTTTCGTTTTCATGATCCTATAAGCCTCTTCACTCATTTTCATCACAGTACACTGAAGATTATTGGCCACGGTGGCGGTTAGAACGCTGGCCTTGTAATCCTGGGGTCTCGGGTTCGATTCCCGGCGGTGCCCGAATTTATAACTTGTGTTGGGCAAGGCCGTGGTCTAGGCAACACGGAGTTTTCCTCCGTGGCATCCCAACAATTACTCCATTCACACACAGAAGAAGGCAATGGCAAGCCACTTCTGGATCATCTGCCAAGAACGTATATGAACAGGTCCCAGTCCGAGAAAAGGATGGAAGGATCCTGTTCATATGGACCTGTCGTCAGACAGAACACTAAATAAAATACACTGAAGATTACGACTGTAGCCTGGCGTTTTCATTCCCCTCATAATGTTCCGGCACGAGGAATGTTAGACTTACAGTAACATGTTCGCCTATTCGTGACCAGCTGATAGATTTTCATTAAACTGAGTACGAATGTATCACTAGAAGCTCTCGCCACGTTAAGAGCTTTAAATTGAGCACCGTTAGTAATACAAATATAGTGACTGTGCGAAATTATGAGGTGAAAGCTAAACTACATCATGCTCTCGAGTGAGATCGACTCTTAACTTTAGGCCTACATTTGATAGCCAGAACTATTGAATTATTGTAGCTAATAATGTGAAGTTTTATATGGGGATGGAATATAAACTTATCAACGAATTTAATTCAAATCCGTCTGTGATAACATGAAAATAAAAGGAATCTATGCTCGTGGAAATTGTGGACATACATTTATGAATGAGTTGCATAATTACTGACTGTACATTGAAACATTTAACGCAGAGCGAGTTTTAGAAGTTCTTTACGGAACTTCGCGTTAGGTTAGGTTGCAGCTCACATTTCCGTTTGAGTCTCGACTCGTTGTAAATTTCCTTTGTTTCGGAACGAGGCCGATAAATATAAACAAATATAAAATAAAAGGACAACATTTATTCAAATAATGTCAAATCTCATGAAAATATAAATATGTATACCTAAAACTTAGCTCACTGTATCGCCACTAATGCTCTTTGAAATTTTAAGATATTTGAGATCTGTTTTAAAGTTTACGATATTGTGTTACAGCTGCAGGAGAAGAAATTCTCACTACCTGGGTTAAAGAGAGAATTTTTAAATGTTAGTGCTCATGTGTATATAGATTTTAAATTCTCTTTGAAGGTGTTGATATAATATACTTAATTATTAAAATGTGCATGTATAAAATACTAAAGTTGTTTAACGCTGGAAAAATTCTGAGCTCAAATCCAGGCACCTGTAGGGTCGGAAAGGCAACGTAGATGTTAGGCTACCTGAAAGACACTGATGTCATTGCTACACTCGTAGAATTTCACCAACGTTATAAAGAAGATGCGTACAATTTCATCTAATCTTTCTTACCCACAGAAGCAGTGGCGGCCCGTCCATAAGAGCTGCTTTCAAAAATTTAAAAATTTATTTTTTGTGTTTATATAATTTGTAACAATTTATTTCCTCTATATCATTTTAATAGGATTATGTTGCATTTTGGGTTCGGTTGGGTTAGGTTTGGTTTAGTTAAGTCAGGTAAGTTAAGTGTAGGTTATATAATGTTGTTTTACAATAGGTTTTTTTGCCCTGGAGAATTGCTATCGTTTTCATCGGGAGGTCGTGGGGATGTCCTGGAGAAGTGCTTGAGAATCTTTGAGAACTCCTGGAAAAGTCCTAGAGTAGTATCGAAGTCCTGGAGACGTTATGCGAAAAAAGAATTTGTCCTGGAGAATTGCTATCGTTTTCATCGGGTGGTCGTGGGGATGTACTGGAGAATTCCAGGATAATTCCTGTAGAAATCCTGGAAAAGTCCTAGAGTAGTGTCGGAGAAGTCTTGGAGACGTTATGCGAAAAAAGAATTTGTCATGGAGAATTGCTGGAGAAGTAATGGAAGGGATGTGTTTGTGGGAATCACATATTCCACTTCAAAATTACACTGATATCTGCATTTGGTAGGACTGTTTGGAACGGGGATTCGGTTCTTCGCGAGGCTTTTAGTTCCACAGGGTAACACTACACAAAAAAGAGACATGTTCGTTCCTAAAACAGGAGAACTATCAACCTATTTTATTTTTATATTTCTGTACTCAATTAATTTATTTCTCCAGCCTCTTATCTGGACAAGTTTGAGACCTTTTATCATTCCCTTGGTGATCTGAGTCAAAAATTCTTGCCGACAAGATACGTAGTCATAAAAACAAGAGGTTATCACGAATAAAAATAGATGGCCAATGGCCCAACGACTTTTAAACTGAATAGAATATTTATAGAAGACTGAGCGAAATATTTATGTCTACTCGTATCGTGGAAGATAAAAACGTGCTTTTCTAAACTTGCGGTCATCTAGTATTTAATCTGAGGGTTGGGTTTGTCACTGAATTCTGTACAGCGCTAATTAGGTTATAAAACACAATAACAACAGTTGTATTCACAATACCTGACACTGGAATATTTACTTAGGCAGTTTAATGTAGTCGACATCCTAACAGACAATTTTTAAAATCTATTTTAATATTATTCTCTCTTATACAAGAAGGTTTTACCTCCCAATGTAAGCAATTTATGTCATTCATCTCATTCTACTTGATTTGAATTTGCAGTGAACAGAACAAATTATGAAGCCCCTCATGTAATTTCCTCCATTCTTGATAATATTAAAAAGAAGTATCTTGTTCATCTTGGGCCAATAAACGGCCTCTTAGACCACAAGAATGTTTCTTTAATGATAGTCAAAATCTTCGTTTTGGAATGGGTCGACAGTCAAGGGGTTGTTTGAGTGCATAAATGTTTGTCATTCTTCCATCATGATCTAACCAGCACCGTTTTACTGCTAGTCTAATTCGATTGGGCCCATGTTGAGTTCTTCTAAAATATATTAACGCAATCTGAGTTCAAATAAACTGTGTCCTGCTGCTCGTCTCATAAATTTCATCTCTGCTGTCTTTAGTGGTCTTCTTTGAATGTCAGATTTCACAATCACATACAAGTTATGTGATGACAGAAACAGTAATACGGACACGTAACTGGAATGAAACATTACGACTCCATAAAAGGAATATTGATGCATGAAACTCAGTACTCGAGTCTTATAATAATAATTGCTTGTTCCAGGTGAAAGCTGACGATCCTTACATTTCATGCTAGGTAGAGTCGCTGTGTCGTTGTACTCTATTGCAATCATCAATATGTCTCCTCAAAGATATCAACTACCTGGTGATCAAATTCACAGGCCAATGCCAGTTTCTCGGACGGTAGAAAGAAAGATTATCCCATCGTTTTCGTTAAGGATGGTAATAGGCGCCACGATAGGCCAATATTTTTAAACGAGAAATGAACATCTGTTTGTATTTATCCATAAATAATACAAACGATTTATGTAACGTTGGTTAACGACACGCGTAGTTTAACATCTAAGAAAACTGCCAGGAGTGGCCACGTTTGTTCCTCGGCGTCTATTTGGGAGTGGCAGTTATTTCAAGGCCTTTTCAACATAACCACAAAATGCTATAAACAGATTCGACCAATAAGGAATTATATTACGGCATATTATGTTTTACTAGAACGTTCTGTTTTAACTTTGCGGTGTCGAATGTTATTTATTTGTCCGAATTAACCTTTGTTTATAAATATTTTCGGCTCTGGTAGGAAGACGGAGGCAATAGCTTAATGAAGACTTCACATTTTGCATCCTCCACAAGTATTATTAGAAACAAAGATAACATCAAGAGGAATGGGATGAGCTGGGCATGTAGCATATATGGAACAAATGAAACCTGCATGCAAAATCTTAGTCTGAAATCCTGAATTTAACTTGGGAGAACAAGACGTAAGAGGAAGGATACTATTGAACGTTGTCTGTTTCAAAGGATCTTGTCTCTCTACTCTGCATTGAAATCTCCTAGTGTACTTTCCATACAGCACATAGTAATATACGCAGTAGTTCCTCATCAAAACTTTCCTAACATTTGGGGTACAACAAATTGTCGGTTGGGAGGAAAAATTATGATGATAATTTAATATAACTGAAATGTTTCCTGGATGTAGTAGCCTGTGGCATGGTGCTGATGGATTATTTAATTAATTAAACATATATTTATTCACACGCCCCATGAAAACGCCACTGTTTCGTCATATGAAGAAGTTCTATGCCTGACATCAGCATTCTGTGTTCACCCATCTTCAATATTTGCAGGACTTACCATGTAAATGCTGTTTGTATTCTGCTTTCATATCCCTTCTCAAAATTCCACAGGTGTTAAATGTTGATTATCTCGAGGAAAGAACATAAATCAGTCTCTCATTTAAGTATTTGTGAGATTATCATGATGGGTCCTAACGAAATCTTCACTCACGAGATATTTAGCACTTTATTGGTGGAGATTCAGTGTTAACCGTAGCTGAAGTGAAATCACTCTACCATCCCGCACCTTGTCCTGAGTTAGACTCGACTCTACTGTCGGCAAAGAGAGAGAAAAAGTGACGTCATGACACGACCAGCCGAAGGCTGCAAACGGCGTACACGATTGAGACTGGAACAGTGAAATACGACGTAGGCGAACAAGAAGTTACCTTGCCACTTCGCGCAGAGACCAAGAATGGTATGTCCAAGGTGACGGTACACATACATTGTTACTTTTACCTTCGGTGCGTGGGTGTTTGATGAAATGAAATGCCTCCGTTGGAAGTGCGAGTGAAATTAAAACAAATTCAGATGCTGAACTCTACTGTTCTGCTCTGCAGACTGCATTTGGGCTAAGACAAGTGTAGACAGTGGGCGAGACTTCGAATCGTCTCAACCGGTTTGAGATTTTTTTCCATCTTGGTAAACTTCGAATGTGATAGAATATGCCCCCCCCCAGGCAAATTCCCTTGTAGTTCACTTCATACGTATTTTACTTGATCAGATTTGGTTAGGAATTGTAATAAGAATTCTTCTTAAATATGGAAGTCTAAATGACACTTGTAAGCTGTTCGGACACAACGTTATTTACTGCGTTGGAGTTCCTAATATTATTTGCTATTCCGTCAGTCAGTTAGTTTTCTTACGCGACTTTGAACGAATACAAATAAAATAATTAAGTGAAAACTAAACTTACAGACCGAAACTAAAGTGGAAACAAAATTATAATAAACTAAACCAAATCATGTAAGATTTGAGGTTTTCACAGCGGTGAGTATGAAGATTTCTGTCTTCTGGGTTGTTGCGCTGTGTAGTATCTACCATACTACACGGCGCAACAACCCAGAAAAAGAAATCTTAAACCAAACCACATTGCTGTGACATTTACTTTGAAGAAATTGTAAAGATTTTATCGTAATGAGTCTGATGAGTGAGTGTCCTGATCTTTGTATGTTGCAAGGCGAGCCACCAGAAATTAAGGTAGGATGACGGACAATTAGATCACAAATATTTGTTTAATTGATCAGGGTGTTCGAGGTGAATGTTTGGGCCTAGGAGGCAGGAATTGAAAGGGCAGTCGAAATTAAGGAGGGTGAGTTGGGCGAGGCATTTAGCAAGCACGGGGGAGGTAAGCTATGCTTATCAATTTTTTTTGAAAACCTAAATAGAAGGAATGAATTGTAAATTTGGTTTATATGCGAGGATAATATTAAAAGAAATCAAGAGTGAAGGTGTGGAAAGAATTAAACTGGTTCCAAAACTGCAAAACTTTATTTCAGTTATCCTTGGATTGATATAGTTTATGTATAGTTTATATGTAGGAGGATAGTGCCTCGAGAAGACTGCGTGCAGCATTACCACTAAGCTAACCCGCTCCATCACCAGTGTTTGTCCGATGAACTAGAGTAAAGGACCACGCCAGTCTATATTTAGATGTGACCGACGTCAATTGGAATCATTAGGAACTGATGGAGTGCGCGGGTTAGCGAAGAGAAATCTGTGAACGAGTCAGTTTCTAAGTTGTGGTGCGTGGGTCTTCTGTCTGTAAGTACTAGTCAAGATTGTGGCATGTTAGAGCGAGAAACCGCGCCTTAAGTTAAAGTGGTTCTTCTGGTTCAATATTCAACATAAAATCGTGGAAGCTGAGGGATAACTGTATTTTTACTTAACGGGATTTTCGTGTCTTGACGTATTGAAATGCTCTCGGTGTGTGCTCAGCTGTTTCGGAAATCGCGTCTGTCCCCGTGTTCTAGGCCGTCGCGCTGTATTCTTCACCTGATGGTTGAAAGCGCGATTGTTTCTCTCCTCACCCATGACTGCCAAATCTTCTTCAAGGATTTTCACTTCAAATTTGCGAGATTTCTGTAAATATTTACTGAGGAAGACATTTTTTAGTTCAGAACTTTCTTGTTTGCGTCTCTCGGTTTCCACAAAAGTAGGAGAACCTTATCTCTCTCTCTCTCTCTCTCTCTCTCTCTCTCTCTCTCTCTCTCTCTCCCTCCCTGCCCCCCCTCTCTATGTGGACTCACGCTGAAATTGAGTTTCGATTAATTTCTTAAACTGCACTGTGTAAAATAAATTAAAATTATATTAAATTCGGGAAATTCTTGCTAATCTTTATATCGTCCCCTCCCCTATCTAAAAAAAGCCTAATTATTAAAGTAACAAAACTGTAAATTTTGCCATTTGTTTAACACGGACGTCCTTCAGGCATGAGGCGGAGACATTGTGTTCTTCCGAAAGGTTCGCACCCACCCAGATCTGCAGCCAAGACACGTGCATGCCTACATGGCGTCATAACTCAGAAGACCACCAAGGACATCGTTCCATTGTTTGTCCATCCCTCTTTCTCCTTCTTCTCTTTCCATCGCTGAGAGCGAATTGAACAAAGAAATGCGAAAAGTAAAGTTCGAATTGTGACCAGAATCATTTGTGTGATCCTTTTTCTTCTCAAGTCCAGCTCTGGGTGTCGTCCGACACTGAGGGTTGTCGGATAAACGGTTTGAATATTCTCAAATGATTCGTGTTTCTTGTGACACTCTACAGCTGACTGATTTCTTTTACATTCAAATTAATGTATTTAATGATGAACCATCTTTTGTGCATAAAGTAACGTTGAGAATGGTCGAAACGTTCGTTGCTGCTGGCATTACCAGGCGCTGGATACAACCCACACAATTGGTTCAACAGCTCCTGATCATTGCGAGAGAGAGAGTTAACTTTCCCTGCGTTCCTGAAGAAAACTGCACAATGAGTAGTTTCATAATTTTTATTCTTCATCAGATATTTTTAGGATGATCAAATCAAGGACGATATTCAGCCTTCAGGATAATTAGTACCTTATCAGCAGTCGCCATGACATCTTTCAGTAGACGTGTATGAGCGCTGTGTGTATTAATATTACGTGCCTTCGTTTTTTACGTACGTGTTGACATTTGCATGTGTTAACTCTTGTTTGTTTATGTACGTTGTTAGTTGTTCTCGTAACATTGCTTACGTCAGAGTTTATGTTGCTAAACACTGCAATAGAAATAAAATAATTCTTGGCACTGTTATGCCCACAAATAGCGGAACGCATTAGACTTCATCTCAAGACACATTTTTAATGCGTATGTATGGCCTCTGAAACGTTGGTAAACATC